CCTTCGGAGCCTTGGCTGTCGATTGTAAGAGTGGAATTATAGTTCCCTGCTATCTGTTCCAAGGATTATGCGAAGTCCAGTTCCTTTCGTCAGGGTACCGATTAATTTCAGCAAAATCATGAAGGTCTGGAAGCAACCTAATTGCAAGTCAATCCCTTTCAGTGGGCTATTCAGCTCAGCAGCCTTCCAATATGCTGTTTTAATAATCTCGTTCAAAAGGAAAGCCAAAACTACGACTCTGGGAGAGATTTTGAAAGTACAAATTGTACCTGCAAACCATAATTGCTGCTTTGCTTTGCTGTTTCAACAGTTCCTGGTAGTTAAAAAAAGGGGGAACTTGAGGTAGCAGAGGTGATGAGCTTTGAGCTCGGTCCGTTCCTACCTGCACTTTTCGAGGCTAGGAATGTCATTCGGAAGGCTAAGAAGCCTCAGCTAGCTCATGTTACAACCGATCATGCAAGTAAAGTGTCGGGTGAAGCCGTGAAAGAAAACAGACCAGTATGTCCTTGATGGTGGTTTCTTGGTGCATCGGATACCGTGGAAGACAGGAGACAGCTTTGGCAGAATAGCACGATCATATCCTGATTTCCCAACCCCCCCCCCCCACTATATGGTCCTGCAAATGTAGTTTTTGACGACTATGGTGGAGGGCCGTCAATTAATGATAATACACACCAGCGAGGTAGGCAGAATGCCCATCCAGTTGTCAGATTCAATGTAGACACAGTATTCTCAGGCAAGAAGGATGAGTTTTTATCAAAAGTCTGCAATAAGCAGGGACTCATGAATCTCATTAGTGAGGAACTGAGGAAGGGTAATTGCACCGTCAGCAATGTATCCGGGAATGCAGATGTCTTATTCTTCAGTCAGGTGGCGCTAGCTGCGCTGCTGTGGCCATCACAAGTTTACGCCATCCTTCTCTGTCAGCTGTTGCTCTCGTTGCCTCTGACAGCTTTTTCCCTGCAGATGCAGATGTACATATTGCTAAAGCTGCAGTGAATTCTTTTCGTCGTCAGTCTACTACTCTGATTTGAGAAGGCACTGACCTAACATTACGCGGATGAAGATAGCAGAGAACTATACTTCCACTCTTATAATGGAGCAATGCAAGGCTCCGAAGGTGTATAACATTAATCAGTTCGTTGAAAGTGGACCTGGGTAAAGATCTATGCTCACAACTACTTTTCGACATGCCTACACTGGTTGCGATTCGACTTCCAGGATATTCGGAATCGGAAAGAGAGCAGTCTTCCAGAAGCTTGTGAAATACAGTCCCACATAAGAATCCAGTGCTAGTACATTCCTTCTTCCAATTAAGTCAGCCACAGGAACTAATTGAGGAACTTGGTATCAAAGCAATGTCTTTCATGTTTGGTTGCTGCTGTAGCTGAAATGACTCAGTTGCAACATTACGATACAACTTGCTTGTCAAGAAAATTGCCAGTGCGACTCCCTCCTACGTCAACCTCCGCCAAATTCCACTCCCTCAGAACATACTACCAAGTCATGGCGTGGATGGAGAGTGAATTATAAGACATGGACGTCACATACTGGGGCTGGAAATTAGAGGACAATAATGTTGAATACGGAGGCTGTACCGAGTAATCTTCTTGATAAGTTGATTCATTGCAACTCCTGTACTCCTTGTGGCACACCTTGCTGTACCCGCATATGTTACGGACTACCATTTAACAGTGTGTGTGTAGACCTTGCCAACTTGATGAATGCCGCAATCTATATAACGAGTCACTTGATAGTGAAGCAGAAGATGATTTTTCCTTACTAAAGTACATTCCTCATCAAAATGAAGGAACATGAAGATCTGCATGTGTATTCGCTATAGTATAAGATGACATGAACAACACGAGGTTTTAAACATTTTTAATTGTATGGTAGGTATTATAAATGTGTGTCTAGATAATAGTATTAAAGGGAAGGTTGAGTTCTGGGAAGAGGTGAAAAATAATTTGTGAGCATTACTCATTCTTATTATGCAAGTGAGGAAGAACATCAGTTAAGACATGTTCCCTGAAAAGCATGGCTCTTCAAATGCCTTCATATTCTAAATATGCATGTAACATCGTAAAAATCGGGGGCCGGTTTTTTACGCCACGTGTTCGTGTAGTCCCATAAACATCTTTCTGTGCAAGTGTTTGTAACTTTACCAAGACTTGGCCAAATTTCTTATCATTTTGATGATTCCAGAACCTTGCAATACACACAAATTCTTATATGCTAGACGATCAACCTTTTCTGGTCGGTTCCACACCGTTTCTTTCACAATGCAATCGCATGACCAGAACTCAACTTCATCTTTAAGTTGTTACTTTGTCTTTGTCACTCCCCCCTCCCTCGGTCACTCTCTCAGTGTTGACAATGACCTGTCAAAAATTGAATTGACCCTTTTGCTGGGGGGGGGGGGGGGGGGGTAGTGGGGTCGATGACACCATAAGGGTGAGAGAAACATTATAAGTTCATTTCTTGTTTATAAAGTGCGCCCTCTATTGAGAAATATTAGTGGTTTTGTGGCCCTTTGGACGCCATATTGGATTTTGTGGTTCCCTGAACCACTGCTTAACGTTCTAACTTATCCTAATGGATTCTATGACCCCGAAAACCATAGCATAGACACCCCAATTATGTCTCTCGGATGGATAATAAGTGACTTAAGGCCATTTTTATGTTATGGCGGCCATTTTGGACGCCATCTTGGATTTGGGGGTTTCCTAGACCATTACAAACTATTCTTACTTGTCTCAATGGATTCTCTGACCCCCAAAACCATGGGATAGACACCAAAATTATGTCTCTAGGATGGATAATAAGTGATTTATGGCCATTTCTAGGTATCGGCGGCCATCTTGGACGCCATCTTGAAAATAACAGCTTCTGAACCTTCGATTTTGGTCGACTTTTAGTATGTTATTCCTGAGGTCGAATACTACTAGAAACCATTGAAAAACATTTTGTTGCAATTTGGGGGGGGGGGGGGGGTCAAACCATATCTTGACCTGACTATTACAGCAAAAATGCTTTGAGAGACTTTTGGTTTTCATGAGGAACAGTTGATAATGCTACATAATTCATACCGTTTTTCACATTGTGTTAACAAAAACATGTGTACGCGATCGATTTATTTTCTGTCTGATTTACTTTATAGAACGTATTGGATTGTTCATTTTTCTATTTTGGGGGGTGTTTGTTTGTTTGTTCATTTGTTAGTTTGTTCGTGTTTTTTTTTCTGCATTGGCGTTAATAAAATATGAATTAGAATGATTTTGATATAATACTGTTTCCTCTCTCATGACCCTTCACTAATGTTATTCCTTTCACTCTTTTTCGAGTCAAACGCGTGGACATAGGCAAATTATACCCATTGCACATGATGCGTCATTTGCTGACGTAGTACTGCGTCGATCAGTCAATGCGTCAATGACTGGCGCAGTCTTTGACGCATCATAACAGAGGAATGTCAGAGAGAAAAAATGTTGAATGCAAAATGAGCAGTAACAATATTGCGTCGACTCATTGACGCATGCATGATTGCCTTCATAGGCCTTTGATCAGCGTAGGTAATAACGCAATGGGAATAACGGCACCATTCGCGACAGGTATGGTATGATAGCCAGTGTCGTAGGTACAGGGGGCACGGGGCACGTCCCCCTTCCCCACCCCATCAAGTGGTTTGGAAAATTTAAAGAAAAAGAATAGCGAGAAAAGAGTTACAGAGAAAATAAGATGAAAACAGGACAAGAACAGAAAACACCAGTGGGGCCCGTTTCACAAAGCCTTTTGTCAATAAACAAATTAATGAAAAAAAAAATCAGTGACAAATCTGCTGATAACCAATCAGAACCAAGGATTTCAGTAGCTTATAACAAAAACTGTCATTTGTCACTGATGACAAGTTTTGTGAAACGCCCCCTGGACCACCTCCTGCACCCCCAATCAACACGATCAATATAGTACGCTTGAAAAAGAATCGTGACGCGCGGTGCCCCCTAATAATGGATGGACTCGCACTATGCCAATGGTGTTAGCTTTTCAATATTCTTTAATTATTCTAGTAATTGGAAGATATTTTAAAAGAAAATACTTGAAGATCCATGATAACGGTTTAAAAAAAAAATCTAATGGTTGTCTGTTTCTTTCACCTTCATGTAGGTGTACGTGTCATCATGGTCATCTCGTCGAATAATAACAATCCAAAGTCTAATCGATTTGTTATTATTCACTCTACAATACACCCCTAAACCCGATTCGTGGACTATGAACTTTATTCTGGGCGTGATCAACCGCGAGTAAAGATTTTAAGTTTTCATAGTAAAAAGAAGTACGTGATGTTCTTTTCTGGAATTGCTGTATGGTTACAATACTTCATATAGGCCACTATTCACACACTGCATCCTGTAATGCTAATACAATGAGCTCCACAAAAAAATAGCACATGATCAATGATAGCCAGGAATAGAATATATTCATCACCAGATTATCCATGACTATTTAGGGTTTGAGTGTCAGTCTAGAAACTCAGCGTTTCTGTCAAAAGCATTCAAAAGGCGTTTGAAATTTTGCATTTACAATCCAATATAATGTTTGTATTAATAACTTAGTTGTGATGATATATTGACTTAGTTGTTACGAGATATTTGCCTGGTAACGTCTTACGACTGCGTAAAAGAGAAGAAACGCTCACCCCATATCATAATGGCCATTCTGATTTATGGAATAATTTAATATGATTACCAGACATTGACATTGCGGTGCCGCTCATGTTTTGTTCTATCCAGAGTTTTACGAGTGAAAAAAAAAACTTCAAAAGTAGGCATGCCATTAAATGTGTTGGTCTCTGTATTCGAATTATGCCATTATGGTCACGGTACTATACCGTAAATGTCCAGAACAGTTCAGCGTTATAGATTAACCATGGTAGTTAGCGTGAACTTTGATCTTCTTGCTGACTGCTGAGGCACTGTGTAGTCTCGTCAACACCAATATACCTGCATATAATCTAGAGAGATCAAGGGGTTTCTTGTTGACTATGAAAACACTGCTCTAATATCACAGAGTTGGGCAAGAATCAATACTTTTTCTACCGGTTCTCAACTTGGCGTAGCATATGGTACAACGAAGCAGCACTTATATTAAAGACGTTGTATAGGATCGAAGCCAGTCGGATCATTGTCTCGTTGAGGTTTATTCCAGGGACTCAAAGAAGTATGGACACCCTTAGTATTCTATCGTGGATATGTATTGTAACAACGATCGGATTCTTTGCCTCGGGCATGTAAGTAAAGTTACTCGTATACTCTTATCATTGAAGAGGTTGATACAAACTTTTTATTAGTCTTAATAGGCCAACTTCGGCAAGGAGCTCATTTACGGTATATAACTATACGACCTTTGTTGAATAATCTTAGATGTAAGCTTTGATATGCCACATTCTCAAAAACTTAAATCAGGACAAAACAATTTTCACATAGGTCTACTTAAAACAAAGGACATAACTTGGTAAAAGTATGATTAATGTATAGTTGTTAATTGTATATGTTCATAATTATATGCAGCAATAAAGCGAGGTGCCCCTTGATAAAAATGCCCGGTTGGCATCGGTATATTCATAATATAATTCATCTTGTTATGACTTTGAAAAAAACGGTGAGCATATAAACATTAACACCATCCTAGTTTAGTCTGCTTCGTCCTGGCAAGATTTTAAATCATGATCGCAAAGGAATTACTCGATCGTACATGACTGTACGGACTAGAATATAATACATGTAGGCTACTTGGCTTTAGTTATCAGGTTATAGCAGGGAGATTCCCCTGGCTATATTATGGTTGGTATGAATACTATTGAAATGTCATGCCTGTAGATCGTATCATGACGGATGTTTTAACGGTTACCTTTTTCGATTGGGAAAACTGGCGTAGCCTGGGTTAATTCTTTAGGTTTAAGGGGGGAGGGGGCGGCACACTAGTATCAATTGAATAATAATTGCGATAATCAAAAATGCCAATCAACAAGACACACAATGGGGAGTGGAAGGGGCGGTGGTATAGGAATTGGATTGGTCCTACCATTATACCACGTTGTCTTTCCCATCACGTTTCATTAAATCACATACCCCCCTTTTTTATTTCTCTCTCTCTGTTTCTCTCCCTCTCGCTCTCTCTCTTTCTCTCTCTCTCTATTATCGCCACTCAATTGGGGCACATGTCCTTCATGCCAACCCCATCCCCGTATCTACATGTACGCCACCAATGGGCAATATAGACATGACCTTAACTGACCTCGATCCAGGGCACTTATGATATATCCGAGCTCCATGCTTTTCCGACGTGACTCATGACGGGAATCCCAACTCCCTGCGTGACTTTCCTATATTCAAAGGTGATCGAACACGGGGTTAAGTCTGTGGGCCTATATAGGGATGGTTCAAAGTTCCTATTTGGTGGAAGTTTCATTGTATTCATAGCAGGTTCATCGGTGATTGTTTACATGATCCAAAACAAACTTTCCATCAGACCTCAGTCACACTGCCACTGCTGGGGGGGGGGGGGGCACCGACATTAGAGGGGAAGTGCCCTCCCCAGTTGTTATCGGCCCTTTTCGGAGATTGAAATAACGAGTTAACAAGGCCATCGATTTGGTGGATGTTACATATGGGGTTCCTATCATCTTGTATTCACAATTTGTTCACCTTCTGTCTCCCGGCCACTTGATATATTTACCCTTACTTTCTTCCTGTCCAATGGAGAAAAAAGAATTGTTACCTGAAATCGTTATTTAGAAACTAGATTTAGATATCATTTTCATTTCTTATACATTGATGATTATTGATTTTTCACGTGACAAGACTTAGAGCTTGTAAAAATCCATCCAATTCAATCCAAAAGATATTTGATATAGCGCCTTTTCCTTGCAGTTACGAAGCGCTTCACACACGCTCCACAAAAATCGCCATTAAAAGTATCTATAATCTCTCTTTCAAATCTTTAGACCAGTCTTCATACCAATCGTTAAATCGGGATCGACTGGTAACGTTCCTTTTCTGCCTTTCCTTCTTGGATTAATGAAGTAAGTACATTGGCTTATATTCATAAAGTGGGCTAATCTAATCCATTCCTGGTTTGACTTGATCCACTGATCTATGGAGCGCCAAGTGTCAAGCTCTTTATTCAAGACAAAAACTGTGATTCCCCGTTGCAAAATGAATAAACAATTTAATCAAGGCAAGGAATGTAACAACAAAAAATACACAGTAACATGATTTTTTTTTTCTTTGAATGCTATACATAATATGGGTAGTTTTGTTTATGAAAAAAGGAGGTTGAGAATTAATGCTCCATAATCAGTGCATTAATTCCACCTACATAGTTAGGTTTGGTATTAAACCTGGAATAAAGGTAGTTTGCTTTTATGAATACCGGCCATTTTGTTCACATACATGTAGTAGGATTTTTCTTTTCTTCAGTGGTGGACCTAAATGGAGCTAGACGAGGAGCGCCGCCGCACCCCTTCTGTTTGAAATTAAAGACGGAAATTCATACATTTTCCATTCTGTTATAGGCATCTACACACTTTAAAATAGCATGGGTTTAAATGGAAATAGAGATGAATAGTAATACAGTCTTACAGAGAGAAATATTCCTTCAATGCGTCGTTTACTTAATATCTAAATACAAATAGATTCGAGTGTTTAAAATAGGGCCAAGTCGGTACACATCTCTTTATTTCAGACTTTGGCAGTTTGAAGCTGAGAGGGAGATAGAAAGGAATTAGGAGGAACGTAGAGAAGAGAGAGAGAGGGAGAGAGAGAAAGAGAAAGAGAGAGAGAATTTGGGAGAATTAGGGAGATGGAGGGAGAGGGAGAGAGAGAGAGAGAGAATGAGTGAGAGAGAGAGAGAGAGAGCGAAAGAGAGGGGGGGGGGGGCGACGGGGGAGAGCCGGTGGGAGTATTTTGTTTGCATTCTACCCATTCGTACAAATAAATTGTGCAATTTGATTTTTCTCTTTCTTTTTATTTTGTTCTCTCTGTCACCTTCTCAACCGAAAATTGTCTTAGATTTTCGCAGCTGTATAGATGGAGTATATTTAAGGTGTTGTGTGCATGATTAGAATTGTTAATTGGAATTCGATAATGAATTAATTGTTTGTTGTTCGTTTTTATATCCGTAATCAAACAAAGACATTTACGTTTACATAAAGGCATTTAGGTTTTTGTTAATACAGCGGATACCCCATTTCAGCTGTAATACCTCAGTCGCACCAACGAGACCGACATTAGACCGACATTAGACCGACACCAGACCGACGCCAGACTGATGCCACACCGACACCAGACCGACACCAGACGGACAACAGACCGACACCAGACCGACACCAGACTGACAACAGACCGACAGCAGACCGACTCCAGAGCGACGCCAGACCGACACCAGACCGACAACAGACCGACACCAGACCGACACCAGACCGACACCAGACCGACACCAGACCGACACCAGACCGACAACAGACCGACACCAGACCGACTCCGGACACCAGACCGACTCCAGACCCACACCAGACCCACACCAGACCCACACCAGACCCACACCAGATCGACTCCAGACTGACACCAAACTGACTCCAGACCGACACCAGACCAACGCCAGACCCACACCAGACCGACACCAGACCGCCACCAGACTGACACCAGACAGACTCCAGACCGACGCTAGACCGACAACAGACCAACACCACACCGACACCAGACCGACACCAGACGGACAACAGACCGACACCAGACCGACACCAGACTGACACCAGACCGACTCCAGACCAACACCAGACCAACACCAGACCGACACCAGTCCAACGCCAGACTGACACCAGACCGACAACAGACCGACAGCAGACCGACTCCAGAGCGATGCCAGACCGACACCAGACCGACAACAGACCGACACCAGACCGACACCAGACCGACACCAGACCGACAACAGACCGACACCAGACCGACTCCGGACACCAGACCGACTCCAGACCCACACCAGACCCACACCAGACCCACACCAGACCCACACCAGATCGACTCCAGACTGACACCAGACTGACTCCAGACCGACACCAGACCAACGCCAGACCCACACCAGACCGACACCAGACCGCCACCAGACTGACACCAGACAGACTCCAGACCGACGCTAGACCGACAACAGACCAACACCAGACCGACACCAGACCGACACCAGACCGACACCAGACCGCCACCAGACTGACACCAGACCGACTCCAGACCGACGCCAGACCGACACCAGACCGACACCAGACAGCCACACCAGACCGAATGCAAACCGAACAGAAAAAATGCATGACCGCTCGTGGCCAAACATCGGTCGGTCTGACGTCTGTTCGTCAGTCGATGTGACTGAGGTATATGAGAACAGCTGCTCTTGATCTGAATATGATTCTGAAATCTTATCAACAATGTCGAAATTTATGTCAAGTTTTGAACTCGTTTCTCTTCCTCTCTTCCTGTGATAAAACTCAATTTTATTACCTTTCTTTCAGTGGTATAGCATGTCTATGGTACGGTGTATTGAAGGATGACTTCACGATGATCGTGGTGAACACTACAGGAGTCGTTTTTCATATCTTTTACGTCACAACATATTTGTTCTGCGCCAAGGATAGGGTAAGTAAACATGGTGAAGGCGGACAGTCATAATTCAGAATGTATTATCAAGTTTCATTTTAACTCTTAGTCTCATATAGGGGCACGTACACTATGCGATCTGATTTTGGAAGAACCTTATATGAACATTCGAACATGGAACATCTTAATGATCGATAAACTGAACATAGTCATGAGTGTGTTTACAAAAATCTTAATTTAGAGGATTTAAAGCATCATTGAAGGAAGAAACGTAGAATAGGCTATAAATCGTAGTTTACCGTCAAATCAGTAGTAAGATGGTTTACGATTTGAAGCCGATTCCGAATTTATTCTGCCTAAAAAGCTAAAAGGCAATTACATTCTGGTTATTAGTATCCTTATCATTATTAAAATTAGCACAACATCACCACAAAGATAATCTTGCTTTCCCTTTAAAAATAATATCATTAGCGGATCAGGGGGCGGGGGGGGGGGGGGGGGGGCAAGTAGCGGTTAAATACACATTGAAAATTAACAAACACGTCATGTGCCCTCTATTTATGACCCCATAGTAACTTCAGACCCCGGCAAGAAAAAATAGAGGATCCGTCATTCTAAATATATACGTTTAACGTGATATGAAATTGCCTCGATGCCATTTGACTTTCACCATTTCAGGATAGTGCAAATCAGAAGACTCTTCTCGGCGGGATCTTCCTAGCCGGTATCTACGTCTACTTCAACCACGTCATCGAAGAAAGATCCGTGGTCGAGAATCAGCTTGGGTTAACCACTTGCCTCATGGTCCTTGCAACCAATATTTCACCGTTAGCTGAACTTGTAAGTACATTTAGATTCTATCAATTAATAAACTGGGGTTGGGGTGGACTACTTGAACGGGATATGAACGTTCCTGAACAGTCTCATAGTTTCATTGTTTCCTTTTTTCTTCTAAAAAGGTAAGGGGTTGGCGCGAGCCCTTCAGCCGTCTGAACCTGGCTCTATTGATGTTGCCCTTAAGATTACAGAGAAGTTGTCAATACCGCTTTAGTTCAGAGCATATAAAACGTGGTCATGTTTGATCTTGCGTGGTTTGTAATAAGATTACACAAAACACACAACTTCGTTAAACGTTAATATTAAGTTAATATTAACCTTATTATTTAATGCTTTGTTTGTATCGATACGCTTCAGATTCTTAAATTGTAGGAGACCGCCACAACAAAGTTGATCTAAAATGGTCTTTCGAATTTGAGCTTTCATGGTTCTCAAATGAAATTTTATGGTTTCGAAATGTGATTCCATAATTATGAACGGAAAAGGTCTTTGGAATTTGACCCTGCATGTTCTTTTAATGATGGGCCTTGATGGGTTCAAAATGAGAATACATCTGAACACAAAACACAATATCGTTTAATCTTATGAAGTTAATATTAATCTCGTTATTAATGATTTGTGTCATCCCACTTCACATTCCTAAATTGCAGGGTAACGCCATTAGAACACGAAACAGTGAATCTTTTTCTGCGTTTATGGCGAGCGCTATGTTTCTGACATCACTAGCTTGGACATTTTATGGCTTGCTTATAGACGACATCTATGTACAGGTAAACCTACCTTTATTACAATCCAGTGAAATAATGTATTCTATCTTCATTTCTTGATATAATATTGATAATAATAATAGTTATAATAATAATAATAACAATAATAATAATAACAATAATAATAATGATAATAACAATAATAATAATAATAATAATAATAATATTAATGATAATAATAAAAATAATAATAATAATAGTTACGTCGATTTAAGAGAGCTGAAATACAAAAAGAGGGCCATAGCTCTAACAAAATTACAGGCTGTGAAGAAGAAACATGAAAGACATAGACTTATAAAAATAGGTAACTCATTCCTACTATACTTTCGATAGCACTAAAAGCAAACAATGTTGGGTGGTGTTATGTTTACTACTTAAGTTAAGTAAATAATAGGCACACAGTGTGAAAATATGAATAAAAGACAAATATAACATAAATCTCAGACTTGATATATTGAATATATTACTTTCAGAATAATAAAATAAAAATTACAACGTCATGTATTATTCGTTGTATGAATTTAAAATGAATCATTTTGTTGAATCTATGCGATTGCAGTATGGTCACACTTGTTTACTCTTAATTACACAACATCTTTCGTAGAAGAGTATTAACTAAATGACTATTTTCTTCTTTCACCAGATACCCAGCGTCCCGGGGATGGTATCCGGTATTACCCAGCTTGCACTGCTCGGCATTTTTCCGTCACGTGGTCTTGAAAAGCGCGCCAAAGCGGATTGATGAGTCGTCTGACAATCGTCTACACAATATCGAAAGAATTCCAACGACAGCTTTGCCAAAAAGAAAACCCATCCACTAATATCATAGTGATATGTGTATATATTTTGCTATGTATCGTCTCGTGTAAAAGGAGATAAACTCAAGTTGATGCTTACAAAATGTTACTAATTATCTGAATCTTATATGATAAATTAATGTTACTAGAAGATTAAAATGATGTGTTATTTATTCAAAGAATGTGACCCACGGTTAATTATAGCGAATGAAGTGTTCGATAACAGAAGTGCGATATTCAAAACCGTAATACCTCCTAAAAATGATTTTTCAAAAGGAAAATATGTCGTCCTTACAATAACAGAAGATCTAGAATTTTTTTCTCGAAATGGCTACCTACTCGTTTAGGGACCGTAGCCCGAAAGAAATGTGGGAATGTTCAATCTTCGAGAAACCGTCATTTTCCTTTCGGGAATCGAGATTTTTTTATGTTGCAACTTTTTGATAATTATCTCAAATGACGGAATTCCAAATAAAAATATGTCAAATTCTCAGTTGACTGTCTATTTTGCTCGCTCGTGAAAAAAAGAGAGAAAAAAAGATGCAAATGTGATAGGCCTATTAGGGCAATTAAGAAATGTCCACTCTCCAGCTGAAATTGTGCCCGTACACCTTTATCCTAAGTAATTAGTAGCCCCTTGTTATTATCATAAGCATACATGTACATACAACTACCCATTATCCAATGATGCCATCGAAATAAAACTTCGTTTTATGAAGAACTCCTCGGTTTTAGCCCTCTTTCTACCTCTGCCTCTCTGTCTCTGTGTCTCCATCTATGTGTGTGTGTCTCCCTCTCTAGCTGCGTCTGTCTATCCCTCTCTCTCATTTTCTCATCTCTCTCTCTCTCTCTCTCTCATTTTTATACATGAAATTACCGTCAGTTAAGCATTATTTTGATACCTTATTTGTGACACTGACAGGTCACGAATTGGCGTGGCGTCCAGGAGACGGAGTCCCCGGAAGCTCGGGGGTTTTGGGCAATAAATTACGATCAGATGAGCATATTTTGATACCATATTTGTGACACTGGCAGGACACAAATTTGTGTGGGGTTCAAAGGGGGGGGGGGGGCCACCAGAAGCTCAGTGGTTTTGGGAATAATTACGGTCAGATGAGCATATTTTTATACCATATTTGTGACACTGGCAGGCATAGGCGCCGGAAGTGGGGGGGCAGGGGGGGCAGTTGCCCCCCCAGTCAAAAAAGTGGGGGGGCAAAACGCATTTTTGCCCCCCCAAAACGCCCCCCCCCCCCTCCAAAAAAAAAAAAAAAAAAAACAGTAAAGGCTTGTATTTTTAATCCAAAAGAACGTAACAATAATAAAAACCTGAATTAAATCACATATACAATTCCATTCGAAGAAACGGAAAGTTCACAGGAATTAAATTTCATAAACATTGCGCATGCCACCTATACGGTATTTATCAATGGAGGTCTCTATAATAGCGATACGCGCATATCGTGGACATATTGTGCGAGAATGGGAAAGCGTGCCCGTTTTTTTGTTATAGGGGTGAGAAGACATGAGCCCCTGAACGCTGGCGTACTGATGGGGGGGGGGGGGGGGGGGGATGGTGTATTTCTTATTCGAAACAATTGATTTACAAATGTTGATGTTGTGACATGATTTTCCGGCATTTTTTCTCCATTTCTTTTGTAAGTCATACCTTTTTATGCGTTTGTTGGAAAATAAGAAATTCCCAAATTACAGTCAGGCGAAATACGCTAATTTAGAAGCCTTTATGTCATGGTCTGCAAAGTGGCTGGGCTCGAGCCCCCCCCCCCCCTCCTTTTTGAAAAAGTATGTTAAAGAAAAAAAGAAAGAAAGACGGAGAAAAAAATAAGTGACCTGCCAATGTCACAAATAAGGTATAAAAAATGCTCATCTGACCGTAATTAAATGCTTAAAACCCCAGAGCTTACGGGGGCTCCGCCCCCGGACGCCACCAAGGGACCTAAGGCGGGCCCCTGGATGCTCATCTGACCGTAATTAAATACCTAAAACCCCCTGGACCCCACCAAGGGCCCTAAGGCGGCCCCCTGGATGCTCATCTGACCTTAATTAAATACCTAAAACCTCTGAGCTTCCGGGGGCTCTGCCCCCTGGACCTCACCAAGGGCCCTAAGGCGTGCCCCTGGATGCTCATCTGACCGTAATTAAATACCTAAAACCCCTGAGCTTCCGGGGGCTCTGCCCCCTGGACCCCACCAAGGGCCCTAAGGCGGCCCCCTGGATGCTCATCTGACCTTAATTAAATACCTAAAACCTCTGAGCTTCCGGGGGCTCTGCCCCCTGGACCCCACCATGGGCCCTAAGGCGGGCCCCTGGATGCTCATCTGACCGTAATTAAATACCTAAAACCCCTGAGCTTCCGGGGCTCTGCCCCCTGGACCCCACCAAGGGCCCTAAGGCGGCCCCCTGGATGCTCATCTGACCTTAATTAAATACCTAAAACCTCTGAGCTTCCGGGGGCTCTGCCCCCTGGACCCCACCATGGGCCCTAAGGCGGGCCCCTGGATGCTCATCTGACCGTAATTAAATACCTAAAACCCCTGAGCTTCCGGGGGCTCTGCCCCCTGGACCCCACCAAGGGCCCTAAGGCGGCCCCCTGGATGCTCATCTGACCTTAATTAAATACCTAAAACCTCTGAGCTTCCGGGGGCTCTGCCCCCTGGACCCCACCAAGGGCCCTAAGGCGGGCCCCTGGATGCTCATCTGACTGTAATTAAATACCTAAAACCCCTGAGATTCCGGGGGCTCTGCCCCCTGAACCACACCAAGGGCCCTAAGACGGCCCCTGGATGCTCATCTGACCGTAGTTAAATATCAAAACCTCTGAATTTCTGGGGGCTCTCCCCCCCCCCCCCTCCCTTGGAACACGTCAATTGCCTTACAGAGGGCCCCTGGATGCTCATCTAACCGTAAATAAATACCTAAAACCCCTGAGCTTCCGGGGGCTCAGCCCCTTGACCCCCTGCCGAGGCTCATTCCCTGGACCCCACGCCAATTTACGCTCTACCTGATCGATAATACTCCACTTTGAAAAACGTTCCGCGGGACCTGCATGTAACGTGTAAGACTGGTGGTGATGCAGATTTTTCGTGTGCCCCCCCCTTCCGAACTTTTTTTCTCATTACGTCACTGCCCCTGGAATGTGAGCCCCCTGGAATGTTTGCCCCCCCAGTCCCAAACTGCTTCCGGCGCGCCTGCTGGCAGGTCACGAATTGGCATGGGATCCAGGGGGCGGAGCCCCCGGAAGCTTAGGGGTTTTGGGCAATACATTACGTTCAGATGAGCATATTTTGATACCTGATTTGTGACACTTGCAGGACACAAATTGGTGTGGGGTCGAAGAGGCGGAGCCCCCCTAAGCTCATGGGTTTTATACATTAAATTACGGTCAGATGAGCATATTTTGATACCTTATTTGCGACACTGACAGGTCACGAATTGGCGAGGGGTCCAGGGGACGGAGCCCTTGGAAGCTCAAAGGTTTCGGACAATAAATAATGGTCAGATAAGCAAATTTTGATACCTTATTTGTGACACTGACGCGTCACGAAATGGCGTGGGGTCCAGGGGGCGGGGCCCCCGGAAGGTCAGGGGTTTTGGGCAATACATTACGGTCAGATGAGCATGTTTTGATACCTTATTTGTGACACTGGAATGACACAAATTGGTGTGGGGTCGAAGGGGCGGAGCCCCCAAAAGCTCAGTGTCGTCCCCCTGATCTACACCTTGTTGGCGGGAAAAATCGTAACTGATCTCCCCTACCAAATTCCTTTTTTCTCTTTTTTCTTTCCCTTTCTCTCCTCTTTTCCTTTACTTTCCCTTCCTTCTCTCTATTTATGTTTGTTGGGGAGGCAAGGGCCTTTCGGCCCCCAGATCCACGCGTTATTGGCGGGATTATTCGCAACTGTTCTCCCTTCTTTTCTTCTTCCTCTTTTTTGTTCCCTTTTAGCTCTCCTCTTTCCTTTTCCTTGCTCCCCCCATTTTTTTTGGGGGGGGGGGGGGCGGAGGAGGCAAGGGCCTTTTGGCCCCCGGGGCTTCAATTTGTTGGCGGGAAAATTGCAACTGATATCCCCCTTCTTTTATTTTCTTCTTCTTCTTTTTTTCTTACCTTTATCTCCTTATTTTCTTCTTCCTTTTTTCCTTACCTTTATCTCCTTTTTTCCTTTTTTCTATCCATTTCCTTCCTTCTCTCTTATCTTTTGATGGGGGGGGGGGGATGGTAACAGCTGGGAGGAAAGGCCCTTTCGGCCCCCCGATCTCCTTCTTTTTTCCCTTTTCTTTTCTTCTTCCTCCTCTTTCTTTTCTTTCCCTTTCTCTCCTCCTTCCCTTCTTTTCCTTCTCTCTCTCTATTTTTTTTTGTGGGGGGGGGGGGGGCAAGGTCTAAAGTAGATGTAATTATCGACATGCATATGACGATATGGCCATGTAGTTCCAAACAGAGTCTGGGCTTTTCCGCAGCATTACTGAAAACCATAGACTTATTTTTCTTAACATTCAAAATGTAGGCCAAACTCTACACTGTTGACTCTTACAACATCAAGTAATTGTTGCAGACGTTCTTCATTTTCTGCACACAATACTGTGTCATCAGCATAGCACAAATTATTAATCTATACCTCCAACACTGACACCTTTCATATCTGTAATTTCCCTGAATATCGACTCCGGGCACAGGTTGAACAAAGTTGAGGACATTACACAACCCTACCATACTGTTCTTTTTCTTTCTGTAAAGCCCATAATTCAATTGTTGATTCAATTGTTCAGCTTTAGTAGCTCAAAGTGAATGTAGAACATACCTGATATGCAAATGTGATGCTCTTAATAATTACACTTTTGGTATCATAAACAAATTGATGTTGAAAAAACATTCTAAAAATACCCGGGAGTATACGTTTACCGATTTTCTCTAAAGTCTTTACAGCGTTGACGTCAGGCGCGGATCCAGGTTTTCTTAGGGGGGGGGGGGGGCAAATTTGAAATCAATTTGAAATTTAGTTTGCTGAAATTTGAAAATCGTGCCGCCACTGCCGCTGTTAGCTGGTAAACTAGGAGCGAAAACGGCCTTCATATCTTTGGTATATCTTTAGTCTCGTACCTAACCACCCCCACAAAAATAAAAACGGTTTCCCAGAAGTAGTAGGGACATAAACATCAATACAAATACTGCAGACGTACTATTTACACTTTCTAGAGATGTCATTTCATTTGCATTTCGGGAAATTACTACCATATACCCGATTAATCATTAAGCCCATTGAAATATCCATGACCAATTGTTCCACTGAGATCTTTATCAATTGACTGATTGAATAAACGATGAACAATAATCTTTAATGTGTTTGTGGAATTTCTAATAAAATGAAAAGCTGGTAAAAATAATGGGGACCACCTTGCGACGGTATATTGCTTGTGTTTGCGAGAAAATTAGTTCTCAGAAAGGTTTAAATATTTCTCGTTGTTCAAACAAGACGTGTATTACATGTTTAAAAGCCCAATCTCACAGAAGTGATAGCGAAATCTTCAAACATTTCGACTCTTTATGAAAACACGGAAATTTGGATCGAGCCAAATATATGAAAATATAATTTGTGGGTAATTTTGGCATTTCTCCCCAGTGCATTCGCAAATAACGGTTAAAACAAAAGATAAATGCGTACGATTTTAAAATAGTAAAATGTGATTCTTTGGATGAAAACTTTGGCTGATAACTTTTCGATAAGTTTGAAATCATTCTTTTTTCATATACCTTTTCAGCCACTTGTGTTACCACGAAATCATTAATTGGAAACGTTGAACTGGAGCTTTGCTCGAAAAGCGAACCATATCTTTGGCAAAATTTATGGAGGGATGGCGAACACGTGTGCATCGAAGCGAAACGAGCCGCATAGTCATTACAATTATTGCCGTATTTCACTTCAATCAAAATCTAATATGTGGCAAAACTTCTAATGATATGGTCGAAAGCATACGCCTTTTACAGCAGTAGCGGGTAAAGAGGGGGCTTGGGGTCTCGAGCCCCCCTCACCATTTTCAATCCCCAACCAATTTTCCTTGATTATAAATTAATTGAAGCGATGATCAAGTAGAAAATAAATACAAGAACCCTCTAAGCCCGCATCCCCCTAAGCCCCTTAACTTATTCTTCTGGAACCACGTCTGCATTACAGTTACCACTCTACTAATGCTATTTGTATCTCTCCAAGGAAATTATACTCCTCGATTTTTAGATTTTATATGATTTTTGTCAATTAAGATATTTGATGTCGTTCAGGTTGATTTCCTTATGGAGATACAGCGTACACACATTGTATAGGCCTACATAATGAGTATGGAAGTATACAAAAATATTGTCAAAGACTAAAGACAAGTCAAATTCTGAGAATGCCAGGATTGATTGTTTCGAAAGGAGAAAGAGAATGGTAAAGAGAGACGGAAGGGAAAAGAGATATAAAGAGAGAAAGAGAGGGGGCGAAATAGAGAGAGAGAGAGAGAGAGAGAGAGAGAGAGAGACAGAGAGACAGAGAGAGAGAGAGAGAGAGACAGAGATAGACAGAGGCAGAGAGAGCGAGAAAGAGAGAGAGACAGACAGAGAGACAGACAGAGGCAGAGAGAGAGCGAAAGAGAGAGAGAGAGAGAGAGAGAGATGGAAAGAGGAAGATTTCTCGATACAAAAACTTGACAGATACAATGAACTATTTTAATATTGCCCAAACTTAGGGTGAGTATTTTTCAATCAACCTTGGGGAATAATAACGGCCATTTCATGAAAAAGTTTGATAATATTTCGCCCGTTTTGCAACAGTCATTATTAGTTTGACAAAAATTGGACCAGTGTTGCGAGTTTGGGGACAACAATTCCCAAAGTTAGTCGCATTATAACCTTCGTGTTATTCTTTTCTCTTACCAAAATATATTTTCGAAATGTACGACGCTCTAGCATTCGTGACAAGACTAGAACAGGTATCCAATTACTACTCCCGGTTCATGGAGGGTCAAATATATATCAATTTTTCTACAAAGCACATGATTTCCGTGACGGGGCTTGAACCTTTGACCTTCGCTCCTGGGCCCTGTTTCATGAAACTTGTTTTCAATAACAAGTTACAAGCTACTGAAATCATGGCATCTTATTGGTTGAAAGCAAATTTGTCATAGAAATTTAGCAGTTGTTATAGAAACGGGCCCCTGTATTGGGTTTAAACCGCTTGCTCATGCCACGAAGACAACTGTCAATTTAGGAAGGCACTACAAGAGGCAAAAATACATTACAGGACGGAAGTTGGTGGACAGATTAAATAAAAATAAGACTAAAACTTATCTGACCTCCAGTTGAATTAAATCTGAATTCACAAGCTATCTATCGATTGATTTAACGTCATACAAAATATTTCCAGGAAAAAAAACTACAAAAAAGTACACCTGTTATATCACTGAAATGAATTTACGACTGTCATTTCTTAGGTAGAATGTCATTAAGGGGAAGGGTGTAGGAGGTTTTGTAATTTGGGTCCAGGCAATTATGGGATAGTGATATCATGACGGGGGAGGGAGGGGGGTGGAACGCTCTTCCTAGGGGGAAGCGAGTTGGTCGAGTGGTATGGTCAGCTCTCTGTCTTCGCCTACGGATCCAGTATCGAAACGGGGTCGCGTCTTTCGGATGGTGACGTCCAAAGTCGGTCCCCATACGCAGTAATCAGATTGGGACCTAAACTTTCACTGGAAACTAAACAATCAATTCACAACCCTGCCAAGAAACACGTGTGTAAAAAAAACAACAACAATGAAACAAACTGTGTGGGTGCCATTGAAAAAGGCCATTGAGTGGACCATTGAGTTCTCGAGTCGTAATCATATTCTCTGATACGTGCCTTCCACCTCCGCCGTCCATTGCTATTATTTCCTTGTTTTCCTCGTTTTCTATCCGACTGGGGGCAAGAGCCCCTCACGCCCCCTCCCAAGCTACACCACTGAACCAAACAGGAAGTTAAGGGTCCTTGGCCCTCTGTCCTGAATCAATGTTACTAATAACTCTCGCAAATGACAACCCTATTCAAGAAAGAAAGAGAGAAAGAAAGAAAAGAAAAAAAAAAAAAAAAAAAAAAAAATCATAGGAAAAGAATCAGATCAAAAGCAGATTGATAAACATGTTAATGCAGGGCTGTTCTTTTCCGAAATTCCAATTTTTTTGAAGATACCGTTTATCAACGTACTTCCGGAAATATTTTGAATTCATATCTAAATGAGTTTTTCCATTAATACATGAGACAGTGAAAGTAGTTTAATGCACATCATAGTTTTAAGTATCTAACGTGTGTAAGAGAAGCTTTTTTTTTTTTTTTAATTCAAAGCTTAAATTGAACTTTCTTACTTTATTATTTATTGACATTTTTCTTGGGGATCTCAGTATCTGAGAGTTCAATGATAATGGGGGTAAAATACATTCCACATGTATACTACTACTTTTACTACTACTATTACTACTGCTACTACTACTACTACTACTACTACTACTACTACTACTACTACTACTACTACTATTACTACTACTACTACTATTACTACGACTACTACTACTACTACTACTAATACTACTACTACTAGTACTACTACTCCTACTACTACTACTATTACTACTACTGCTACTACTACTACTACTACTACTACTACTTCTACTACTACTGCTTCTACTACTACTACTACTAATAATAATAATACAAATATAAATCACAATGATGATAATAATGAATCTATTTTTATTGAAACCGAAGTTCTAAAAATATTAACAACACTATAGTGGCAGTGTCTCTCGTTCTTGCATAAGTTTATTTTATTACCTACCGCTCGTTTGTATTTCACTCATGACCCTAAGTGAATGAGCGGAATTTTAATAATTGCTTGTAGTTGCATAATGACGAGAATGCAAACATATCCCTATCTGATATTCATCCACTTTTCACACATATCAATCAAATCATTTCAATGTGTCATTCCAAGGTACTAAAAGACGGAAGGGTTCACTAATGACAACGAATAAATTATTCTATTCACGAAAAACTGCAATCTTTTGCTAATGACAAATTGGTGTTGTGTAATAGTTAATTGGAAAAAAAATCATGAGGTGTAGCGAAGCGAGACGAGGTAGAGAATCATTTGTGAAATTCCATTTTAAAACGACACTTATTATTGATATATTATTCCCCAATAAATTAATTACAATTTCTGTGTTGATGAATTCTACATTTGCTGTTTAAACGGCCCCTATATGATAGAAATGCCATCACGATAATTGAAATGTCCCCCAGATTACTAAATTACCAAAATATGAAGCTTTAAATTATACATATAACTAGCAAGATATATATATATATATATATATATATATATATATATATATATATATATATATATATATATATATAGGAACTTATCAAACGTGATTTGGCATAAACGAAGAAAAGAAATGAAATGAAAAAAAGGATCATAAGATTAACCTAAGATAAACGTTTTTCCAAGGCCTATAGTTTTACAATTCGAGGGTGACTTTTTTAAACTTTCTTTTACAAATTACTTTTTTTGTTGATGGTTTTCTTCAAGGAAGGATGAGATCAAGCCGTTTAATATTCGACGGTTTTGATTTGATTTGTTTTGTTGTGTTAACACCTGGTGATAAGAAAACCTTCTTTAGATAAAAATAGACATTTGGTAATAACTGTGACCAATCATGACCCCAGTATATTTTTTTGTAAAAACGCTATTAAAAATTATTGACGGAAACAACTCTTACCCTAGAATCAGTCTCAATTAAATATTTATGATTTAATCGATGAAATGCATTCAGTGCACGACCGTACATAATTAAACTGCTGGTTATGATTGGATTATCTCGATAACGGATATATGCCTACCAGATGCGATGCTATAAATTTGTGAATTCCCTACCTGATGATCTCATCTTCTTGACGTATTCCGCATCGCGTGGTCGTACACTTCCATCTCCACTGTTGAATATTTCAGAACAGTTGTGCCAATAAAAATGTTATCATTTTGTTGCCGATGGTAGTATTTTGAAGAGGAACTAGGCTCTCATGCAACTTTTTCTTTTGCTTGAAGTCCACTGAAGGAACCACAAACGACAATAGATCCAGTTCATTTTGCTTCAGAATATAATCATTTCATCATGGATCTGCTAAACGCTCCGTTCACCATTTCAAAAATGAAATCTTTCTGCATGTTACTTGCCTTCGTCGTCATCATCGCCTTCGTCGGGACGACCTCTGCAACGTTTGAAACCGATGCCTTATTGGACGAACCACGCCTCTTGGAAAGCATACTATACAAGAGAGTGAATGATGGTATTTATTTTATCTGTTAGCTATTCATTTTAATTCTTTAACCAGAGTAACCAGAATATTTTCAAGTCTAACATTCATTTATTATAACAAAATAATGATTTAAATACACATACATATTAATAACTGTACTGGTCTTCCACAGGGCTCGGCACAATTGATATTTACGTGTAGAGGTGATGTGGTCTAGTGGATAAGTCGTCGGACTATGGATCACAGGGTCTGTGGTTCAAGTCCCGCCATGGCACTAAGACTTTAATCTACATTTGCCACTCTCCACCAAGGTGTTAAATGGGTACCGATAGGAAGAAATTCTCTGAATGCTGTGAGCGCCGAAATCGGTAGCCTAGCAGAGCCGGGGTAATATTGAAGCGCCTTTTAAATCACCTAGCTTGGTGGATATGTGCGCTATATAAATATTCAATATCATTATTATTATTATACTCTTATAAAATACTCCATGTATTCTTTAATACAAATTAAGCAAGATATGAGAGAGAGAGAGAGAGAGAGAGAGAGAGAGAAGAGAGAGAGAGGGGGAGAGGGAGAGAGAGAGAATAAGGCGATAGACAGTGTAAGGAGGGAAAGACAGTTGCTCGGTGGAGGAAACAAAATTTAAATTTATAATGCCTGCATGTGAACGCTATTTTGTATCAATCTGTACAGTTCGAGTACTGGATAACTTCCGTTTGGATCTGATTTCTGACCTCCTTTTTCTCATCATAGTAACAAGAAAGATAACAAATCATCATGAACATCGGCCACTTTCCAGACGTACTAATTATTATATATATTATGAGTTTCGTGATGTTACATTACGATTTATCTCGAGCTCGGAGACGGGGGTTGCATTATTTTAGTGCTTACAAGGAAAATTACTATCGACACATTTTCATCGCGAGGAGTCGGAACACACCGAACTTTTGGCAGCTCGGGATTTTCTAGACTTATGCTTAAGAAACGACACGAATACTTGGGGATGGCAGGCGCGGATCCAGGATTTCTTAGGGGGGGGGGGCCAAATTTGAAATTTTGCTAGCCAAATATTGGTACGTAATGGTGACCAACAGTGACGTAATGCGGGGGGGGGGTCGGTGCAGGGAGGGGCGATTTTCCCCCTCCCTCCTCCGCGAAACGCGGAAGCTTTGACGTTTCATTAAATTATTAGAGAAAAAAGACGATTCGTTGTACCGTTTTCGAAAATAATTCTCGTCTGAATTTAGTTTTCCCCCTCCCGCGCGAAGCGCGGAAAATTTTACGATTTATTAAATTATTAGAGAAAGAAGACGATTCGTTGTCGAGTTCTCGACTCTTTATCCTCGTCTGAATTTAGGTTCCCCCCTCCCGTGCGAAGCGCGGAAGCTTTTATGATTCATTAAATCATTAGAGAAAGAAGACGATTCGTTGTACCGTTTTCGACTCTTAATCCTTGTCTAAATTCAGTCTCCCCCTCCCCCTCCCGCGCAAAGCGCGGAAGCTTTTAAGTTTCACAAGATTATGAGAGAAAGAAGACGATTGGCTGTACAGTTCTCGACTCTTAATCCTCGTCTGGATTCAGGTTCCCCCTCTCGCGCGAAGCGCGGAAGCTTTTAATTTTCATTAAATCATTAGAGAAAGAAGACGATTCGTTGTACCGTTCTTGAAAATAATCCTCATCGGAATTTAGTTTTCCCCCTCCCGCGCGAAGCGCGGAAAATTTTACGATTTATTAAATTATTAGAGAAAGGAGACGATTCGTTGTCGAGTTCTCGACTCTTAATCCTCGTCTGAATTTAGGTTCCCCCCTCCCGTGCGAAGCGCGGAAGCTTTTAAATTTCCTTAAATCATTAGAGAAAGAAGACGATTCGTTGTACCGTTTTCGAAAATAATCCTCGTCTGAATTTAGATGCTCCCCCAACCCCCTCCTCCCGCGCGAAGCGCGGACGCTTTTACGTTTCATTAAAGATTCGTATTACCGTTCTCGCCTCTGAATCCTCGTCTGAATTCAGGTTCCCCCCCCCCCCTCCCGCGCGAAGCGCGGAAGCTTTGACGTTTCATAAGATTATGAGAGAAAGAAGACGATTCGTTGTACCGTCCTCGACTCTTAATCCTTGTCTGAATTCAGTCCCCCCCCCCCCTCCCCTCCTGCGCGAAGCTTTGACGTTTCATTATATTATTAGAGAAAGAAGACGATGCGTTGTATCGTTCTCTATACTCTTAATCCTTGTCTCAATCAGGGGCCGTCTTAGGGCCCCTGGGGGGGGGGGGGGGGGGGGGGGTCGAGGCGGTGGAGCCGGTGTCATAGGCGATTTGTTCCGTGCAGGCGATCGGTTCCTCCGGAACTGATCGCCTGGATATGTACCCGCCGATTTGTTCCGGATTCGTAGATTCGTTCCGCTAGTCACAGGCGATCGGTTCCGGCCAGGCGATTCATTCCGTGGAACCAATCGGCGGGATATTTAGCCGCCGATCCGTTCCGAATCTCATCGGAGAGCGTGCGTGCTCACGTATTATTGAATACACGCCATGGTACACCCCTAAAGCAAAATGAACTATTCTGGTCGGCCTTCACGCGCAACCAATCAAACTTCTCCAAATTAGCTACACCAACGATTGCCAATTTGAGAACTTTGTATAGAAATGCAGATTCCCGTTGTTCAAATATGTTGATAATTGCGGCCAATGATTGACCACAAACAGTAACTATAGACAGCACCGTCGCGAAGCGACGGGGACTGGGTCGGGTCTAGCAAAAAGGGCAGTTGTTGCCATAGGCCTAGTTTGCCTGTAAAAGCAGATGTCGGGGTGTTTTCTAATCAGGCCTTCTAATTTGGTTTGAATGCTGCTTTATATGATATCGTGTTACGTCAACCACCTATTACCGGGCTTCATCACAGAATCTAATTATGCATGTGGGCTGCATGAATGATGTACATGTAGTTTAAATGAAAGAGATGCGGGGTGGGGTGGGGGGGGGGGGCCGGGGTCAACACAAAAAGAAATGAGTGGTCGAGCTGATAATTAAGAAGGACCAATAAAAAAATTTAAAAAAAAAAAAGAAGAGAAAGAAAATTCCTCAAGTAAAAGACGTGTCCGGCAGAATAAAAAATAAATAAATAAAAGAAAAACCCGACATATTTTGTTTAATTTTCAACCCTTGGTACTAGCCGACAAAAGTTAGTGTTAAACAGAGCCATAGCATAGTGTGTCTATACCCCCCCCCCCCCCCCATTCCGCTACATACAGTGGCAGATCTGTTGCGCCCCCTTGTTTGGAAACCACTAATTTCTCGTACATTTTCACGTACATGTAGGCCTAATATCAGAAAACTATCGCCTGCCCCCCCCCCCCCCGTGCCGAGTATGCACGTGCGTGCATGCATATGATATACATGTACTCTATGCGCATATACTAGTCAGTAGGTTATTTATTTATTTATTTTTCGTACCGCGCGCGTGTAATTCCGTACGAGGTTATAAACCTTATTATTAAGTAATATTTCAAAAAAAATAATATTGGTTTTCATTCCAACAATAAATACAAAAGTATCAAGATAAAGCTAAAATTTATTTTTACCATGTTTATTCGACACAAGTAATAAAAATATACGCGATTATATAAGCAGAAACGTTCGGCCAATGTCGGATAAGAACGGCGGCTTTCGAACGTATCTGCGAACGAGTCGATCCAGTAGATTCGTTCCGAGGAACAAATCGGCGCGCCGATTTGTTCTGCGGAACCCGGAACAAATCGCCTACCACACCGGCCCCGGAAGCTCAGGGGTTTTAGGCGTTCAATTAAGGTCAGATGAGCATTTTTTTGTATACCTTATTATTTTGTGAGACTGGCACGTCACTATTTGGCGTGGGGTCCAGGGGGCGGAGCCCCAAAAAATCAGGGGTTTTAGGCATTAAATTACCGTCAGATGAGCATCTAAGGGCCCGCCGTAGGGCCCTAGGTGAAATCCAGGGGGCAGAGTCCCCGGAAGCTTAGGGGTTTTAGGCATTAATCACGGTCAGATGAGCATATTTTGATGCCTCATTATTTTTAAACACTGGCAGTTAACTATTCTTTCTTTCTTGCTCTCATTCTATTTTATTTCTCTTTAATATACTTTTTCAAAAAAGTAGGGGGGCTCGGGGCTCCCGATCCCCGCCGTACCTCGGGCCCTGACATGTAGGAATCTACTAAAAAGTGAGGAAAAATCTCGGAAATTATGTCATTTCAGCATTATTTGTAATCCACCGTTGTGGAATTAGAAATAAACCACGTTTGAATTTGATTTCCCCCAAGCCCCCCCCCCCTCCCCCTATCAGTACGCCAGTATCTCCTCTTTTCCTTTTTTCTTTCCCTTTCCTTCCTTCTCTCTTATTTTTTTGATTGGGGGGGGGGGGTCAACAGCCCCTTTTCTTTTCTTCTTCCTCTTCTTTTTTTCCCTTCTTTTCCTTTCTTCTCTCTTTTTTTTTTTTTTTTTTTTTTTTTGCGGGGGGGGGGGGGGCCAAGGCCCGCTCGGCCCCCCCCCTGGATCCGCGCCTGGGGGATGGAGCGGGGTATTCCAAATTCGGTAGCATATAAGCTATAACACATCAGTGGTTGAGGGATTATGCATTTTGCTAAAGAAGGGTCATTTCTTTTGCGTTATTATCTGCATCAGTTCAATTACGCCTGTGAAGGCATCCGTTCATTATTTCAGTAATTAAAAGCTCTGTGTGCACTTTTCATTTTGCACGCAGTTTGTATACTAGCTCACGTGGAGCGTCAAAAGACTGCTAAAGTCGTGGACGCATTCCTGTATCATTCCCATATAAAGCCACGCGTGTGTGTATTGGGGTTTTATAGACGTGTATAATAATAATAATAATAATAATAATAATAATGTTGGCTTCATATATAGCGCACATGTCCGTCACGTTGTGACGCTCCTGGCGCTTCCCCGATTGTTACCCGGTCTATAGCAAGGCAGCCACTGCGGCGCTCTAGCATTTCAAGGAATTAATTCCTGCCAGGTACCCATTTACATCACATGGGTTAAGTGTGGTAAATGTAGATCAATGTATTGCCGCGGCGGGACTCGAACCACGGACCTTACTTTCGTCAGTTCGTCGACGTATCCACTCGTCCAATCGACCATGACACCTCTATCAATCAGATATGATCATTTACGTCTGGGGACAGACCTTTAAAAAAACGTCACCATCCGAAAGACGTGACTCAATTTCGAACCTGCGTCCTCGGCTGAATCAGTTGGTAACTTCCATTGTTAGTTAGGTTACAGGCGCACGCCACAACGCCTGTATGCTTGGCTTTGAATAGTCGAAGTCCTCTTTTATTTCATCGCGATTTAGTACAACGCAATGATGCAACTATGTCTCCGACATTTTCTTTACAAATAGTCCTGTAGAAGTTTTTTTAGACCCGGAAAAATTGTTAAGTACAAGGTTTGTTTGGTTGATTTGTGTTCTAGATGGGTATTGAAGTAAATTCAGCTTTCTATGACAAGGAATTCATTTATGACACCAGTAATGCAATTTTCTTAAATAGCATAATTAGCATAATGAGCTAATAAGCATGTGTACAATGTATGGACTTCATTCATTGTCATTGTTTATCTATAAAGCCTAAAAATGATGCAATGCAATGCAATCACTTTTGAAAGACTTATCACTAATTCATGAGAAGATATTCCATGCACATGTAGTATAATTAGCCTAATTAGCGTAATAATCTAATTAGCATATAATATGTGCAATATGTAATAATGTTGCTAATCTTAATCCAGGAAGCCTGAAAAGATGGATAATACGACTTTTCAAGGGTTTTCTATGACAAGGAATTCATTTATGACACCAGTTTTTGATTACAAGTAATGCATTTGTCTTAAATAGTATAATTAGGATAATGAGCTAATAAGCATGTGTACAATGTATGGAATTCATTATCATTGTTTATCTATAAAGCCTAAAAATGGTGCAATGCAACATTTTATATCACTTTTGAAGACTAATCATTAATTCATGAGAAGATATTCCATGTAGATATAGTATAATTAGCATAATAATATAATTAGCGGTAGCATATATGTGCAATATGTAATAATGTTGCTAATCTTAATCCAGGAGGCCTGAACACATGGATAATATGACTTTTTCAGGATTCTGCCACAAGCTTGAGCAACAACAGGCTTGTACTCTCAATGGTTCTGGCTTTGGTAAACATAGACATATCATAGTTTGCACTGTTGTATTCAACATCCCTGGCCTGTGTACGTACATGTCTCATATCCACCACCTCATCAATTCCATCACTATCATCTGCTTTAACCATCTTCAGTGTGTTTCCGACAGTCTCTCTAAATACAATCACTGACGCCCAACCATCAATGCATATGATGACCCCGTTATTTCCTAGACATTTCATGAGGTTCGACAACATTGTCTTGCGACCAAGATAACCACCACATTGGACATATCATTTGTTAAGCTAAATAGAGTCCCAAATAATTGACATTCTACAAATATGCTAATTAGGCTTTTTAGTACAATAACTACATATTAAACCAATTGCATTACTTAAAAATAAAAATGGGTCTCACAAATGAATCCCTCGTCGTGGAAAACCCTGGAAAAGTTTTATTATCCATGTTTTCAGTCTTCCTGAATTAAGATTAGCAACATTATTACACATTGCACATAAAGTGTATATGATAACTAGGCTATAACTATGTTCTCATGAATTAATGTGTAGTCTTTCAAAAGGTGATTTACAATGTTGCATTGCACCATTTTTAGGCTTTATAGATAAACAATGACAATGAATTCCATATATCGTACATATGCTAATTAGCTCATTTTGCTATTTAAGACAATAGCATTTCCTAAAAATAAATAATGGTGTCATAAATGAATCCCTCGTCATGGAAATCCTTGAAAACTCACATTATCCATGTTTTCAGACTTCCTAAATTAAGATTAGCAACATTATTACATACTGCACATATATGCTAATTTAATTATTATGCTAATTAGGCTAATTATACTACATCTACATGGAATATCTTCTCGTTAATTAATGTGTAGTCTTTCAAAAGATGATTTACAATGTTGCATTGCACCATTTTTAGGCTTTATAGATAAACAATGACAATGAAGTCCATAGATGTTACATACCGGTGTGCTAAATATGTTATTTAAGACAATTGCATTACTTGGAATAAAAAACTGGTGTCATAAATGAATTCCTCGTCATAGAAAACCCTTGTAAAGTCGTATTATCCATGTTTTTTAGGCCACATTATTACACATGATTACATATTGCACATATGCTAATTAGATGATTATGCTAATATGGCTATTAAAAAAGTTGCCCAAGGTTGCCAAGCTGGCAACCAAGCTGAATGTACTTCAATACCTATCTAGAACACAAATCAACAACAAAAAAAAAACTTGTACTTATCAACTTTTCCAGGTCATGTACATGGTATATGGTACCGTTTACTGGACTATAGCGTAATACAGACTTAGACTTATTGGTTTGAATCCCAGTAATTATTTTGTCCTATTTAATGCCTTTATAAATAGTTAGGCAAAGCAATAATTCATCAAAGTATAATTGTTAGTGACCTCTTATTCAAGTATAGAATAAGCCGCAAATGAACAGTTTAAACAATTACATTACAATTCATCATCATCAATAGTGATCTGTCAGTTCATGACAGGTTCAGTGACCCATTCAAAATTCCATATCAAGTGTCTCTCCAAGCCCCTCTCCAAGTTCCTCGGTCTTGAGCCAACCGTTTCATCGTCCCATACCCCGTCGCTCCACATTGTGTGATTACATCGTCTAAAAAGCCAATTAGGTACTACATAATCCGAATAAGTTTTGTATGCAATATACTATAGAATATTAGTACCTTTCAGATGATTTCTTGCAAGTCTTAGCGACTGTATTCAAGGTTTTAGAAAAAAATGCAGATTAATTATGATGGCATGTTAATAAAATTAGCATCCAACCCATATTAAATCTCAGAGCATGTATAATATCTTCCGTCAGGGGCATAGCACGGGGCCCATGGGGTGGGGTGGGGGCATCGGTCTTACTCGTTTGAGGAAGTACAAATTATCAGCGCCATCGATTTAGGGGAGGGTGTGTGAAGAGTTATGGTGTTTTCTTCTCACGTTGCCTCGGCCCCTCCTTTGTGACCTTTTCATTTTCCGGCATTCGGTTTTTTTTTTTTTTTTTTTTTTTTTGTTTGTTTGTTTGTTTTTGTTTTTGTTTTTTTTTTTTTTTTGGGGGGGGAGGGCTTCGTCACTGTTTTTTGTGTGTATTTCTAACCTAGATATGCCTACATATAGTGTTATTATCTTTGTACATATTTGTTTGTTTGTTTGTTTTCACCTGACTGCTAAGAAAGCATGTGCATGCTTTTAAGTAAATAACCAGATATATAACTTATATTTACACTTACGTGCATTTTTTCCCTTTTCTTTGTGTACCCTTTACAGATTGCCACGGGTGTGGACGGTCCTGCAAACCTATCTGCTATTGTAAGTCTACTCCAGAAAGCATTGAAAGAAAAAGTTCACCCCGAAATATTTTAAGAAATTAAATACAGAGGAATGTACAGAAAATGTGATAAGGTATAAAGTATCCATTCTTAAATTCTAGATCATCACACACAAATCGGCAACTCCTTCTACTACTTAATTATGTAATATTTCATTCTCGAAATCGGAAGATCCCTAGTGATTTATTGCCTATACAAATTGATGTAAATATTATAAAAAGGAAAGAATGTGTTCAGTTTCTTGGTATTATAATTGATGAATCACTTAATTGGAAACCTCATATTGATTGCATTTCATTGAAATTATCTCGAAGTATTGGAGTTTTTTCAAAGCTAAAGCATGTTTTACCATCAAATATTTTGCTAATGTTGTATAATAGTATGATTTTTCCACATGTAAATAATTGTAATATTATTTGGGGAAATACTTATGCATCATATATAGATAAGATTTATTTGTTACAGAAACGAGCCGTGCGTATTATTACTAAATCTGATTATTTAGCCCCATCACGGCCACTTTTTGTTAAAACACACGTAGTCCCAATTTTTGAATTGATTCAATTTAATACTCGCATATTTATGTTTAAATTTCAAAATCGCCTATTGCCAGAAATTCCTAATATAAACTTTGTTATTAATAGTGATATTCACTCGTATTCTACTTGTCAGAAAATCATTTACATTTATTTAAAGTTCGTACGACAAATGCACAAAATTCTTTCTATTTAAATGGCATTAAGGAATGGAATAATTTGAGTAATGATATTAAGGAAAGTACAACCCTATCTCGATTTAAAGTACGATGTACACAGTTATTATTTAATGATTTATGTAAACAAGTTTGAGCAGAGGAGGATATTTTGAATGTATGTGAGTATGTATATGTGTGAGCGTGCATGTGTGTTTGTATCATGTTATTTTAAAGTTTTAAACTGTATAATTTATGTGTAGTTTGTTTTTTCTTTTTAAGGCCCCACCACAAGCAATTTGCTTCTAAGGGTGTCCTTTACCGTATTATGTTTACTATGTTACTCATTTGTATGTACATGTTTCATTTTAGGGTTAAATAAACTTTACTTTACTTACTTACTACTACTACTACTTCTACTACAACAACTACTACTACTACTACTACTACTACTACTACTACTACTACTACTACTACTACTACTTCTACACTTCTACTACTACTATTACTACTACTACTACTACTACTACTACTACTACTACTACTACTACTACTACTACTACTACTTCTACTACTACTACTACTACTACTATTACAACTACTACTACTACTACTTCTATTACAACAACTTATATTACTACTACAATGTCTTGTTTTCCCAGGGTAGCCTCATCACTGTTGATAATGTTCTCCCTAAGGGTTCTGCAAATGTTCCTTTAAATGTTCCTTTTCTTTCCATGCAGCTCTGCCGGTGAGGAAACGTGCAAGAAGTCAAAACGTGGATACTTTGGAGAGCCTTTACCAGCCCAAGGTAATGAATATTTGCAAGCAAATAAGACGCTAATTCATAATCAATAGGCAATAGGAATTAGAATGAAATAGTTTTGATATGTTGTCGACTGGATTAAATATTTGGTAAATAGTGTTCACGTTTGATTGCATGCAAAATAGAAAAGAAGGCGCTAGATATAAATACAACACGAGAGATAGAGTGGGAACCGTGGCGGATGCAGGGGGAGGGGGCCCGGGCCCCCTTCCCTGGTGCTCAAGGGGGGGGGGGGATTTTCAAATTTTCAGGGGCAAAAAAAAAATTGCTCATACCCCCCCCCCCAGCATTATTCACCGACTGGCTGTTTCACCGCTAAATTGGGCCCCCTCTTTGGAACCCCTCCCCTGCTGCCGGCTGGACCCGCCCCTGAATGGGGGCGCGGGGTGCAACGAGATAGATAGAGAGAAAGAGAGAGAGAGAGAGAGAGAAGGAGAGAGAGAGAGAGGTAAAAGGAGGGACTAGATAAATGCAAAGTCTTTCTAATATTCATTCACATTCAAGCTGCTAATCGCCTTATCAATGTTGTCCCATATGGAGAAGAAGAAATAGTGGCAAGCAAATAAAAAATTAAACTAATTATTGCATTTGCTATTTCTAGGACCTCATATGAACTTTATAAACGATTCTCTAAGAAATAGAACATTCCAGGTAAAAATAGAAAATACACTGTCGCACATAAACAACACAGAAAACGGTCTATCGCAAGGTAGTACCATAAGTCCAATCCTGTTCAACCTTATGCTCTGTCAAATTCCCACAACCCCCTCAGTCTCCATATCTTTATACGCAGATGATTGCGCCATTTGGACTTCAGGACCTAACATTAATTTTATAGTAAATAGAATTCAAAATTGCTTAAACAACCTACAAATTTGGTTCGAGCAAAGGGGCTTTAATCTCTCCGAAAATAAAAGTACCCCGGTGCTCTTCAGCAATAGCAACAGAACAAACCTCCCCGTAATAAAACTTAAAGAAAAAGAACTGCAATTCCAAGCAAATCATAAATTTCTTGGCGTCACGTTTGATAAAAAATTAACATGGAATACCCATATACAAGATATCAGAAACAGATGTAGAAAAAAAATTAATATCCTGAAAAGCGTCGCTCATACAAGTTGGGGAAGTAACACAAAAACATTACTGATGCTATATCGATCTTTAATAAGATCAATGCTAGACTACGGGTGCGAGGCATATGACTCGGCAAGCGAAAGCTCCAAAAAAGTTTTAAACACTATGCAATACATGTCCCTACGTATATGTGCAGGTGCTTTACACGGCACATCCCTCGCCGCCCTACAGGTGGAAATGGACGAGCCCCCTCTTGAGTTAAGAAGGAAAATGCTGACAGAAAAGTATCACGTCCATCTTTCCCGTGTGACAAACCACCCATTAAAACCAAACATCCAACCATGTTGGCAATTTGAAAAGTTAAAGAATAAAAAAGTGAGACAACCTTTTGGTTTGAGAATAAAAAATGAAAAAATAATAGACTCAATTACAGAAAAAGTCATACCACTTCCTATCCCCCCCTGGCACAACTACACTCCCCAAATATCCATTGAACTAACTGAATCAATAAGAAAAAATGATAACCCGAGTGAAATGAGACTAAGAAGCATAGAACTCATAAAATCAAAATGGAATAACAGCCTTCATATATATACGGATGGCTCAAAATCCCCATCAGGCACAGCAGCTGCGTCCTTTTTTGTCCCACATTTTTCAATAAGACAATCTAAACGTCTTACAGACCATACCTCAAGCTACCGAGCAGAGTTAGCAGCAATAACAATTGCCCTATTATGGGTTGAACAACTAAACCTGCACGCAGGGGTTGTGATATTCACAGACTCCCTCAGCGCACTCCTCTCAATGCAATCAATGAAAGGAGATAAGTCAGATAACTTCATAAACGACATCAAGTATATATACACAAGACTGGCATACAAAGGCATTCAAGTCCATCTAGAATGGATCCCCTCTCACTGTGGAATACAGGGAAACGAAATAGCGGACCTTCTCGCAAAACAAGCCCTAACTGAAGAAATACAAATAAATAACAAGCTATGTTTGTCTGAAATGAAAGCAGTATTGAAAATAGAACTATACAAGAGTTGGGAAGAAACATGGCAAAATTACAATAAAACAAACGTAAGACCTTTCAAACCAACAATTCAACATAACTTTGAGAGCACCCTTTTTAGAGACTGCGAAGTCATAATTCGTAGGCTCAGACTTTGCAACATAGGACTAAACGCAGACCCCTCAAAAGTATGGGTATCCCAAACAACCCAACCTGGCCAAGCCAACAAAAATTGTAAATACTGTAACACCCCTGAAACAATAACACACTATCTGATGGAATGTCCAACATATACAATAGAAAGAGCAATGCTGATAATGGAAAGTGATATAACGAGCCCAAACGAAATTATGAAACTCCTAAAATCAACAGAAAGTGCGACCCAGAGAGCACTGATCCGCTTCGTTCGTAGAACGAGGCGTTTTGAGTGTTCCTAATTTTTTTTTTTTTTTTTTTTTTTTTTTTTTTTTTTTTTTTGCACATATCGCACGACAACCAAATGCCCTAAGATATTGATACCTACTTTGATAGAAAAATAAGGTTTTACAAAATGGAAAAATACTAGAAGAGAAAAGGTAAGAAAGAGTAAAGACGGATTGAGGACGGTAAACCCCAAACAAGAGACTCTGGAGATCTACCCCAGAATCCTCTCACCGGCACCAGAGTTGCCTAGGCCAATGATGGCCGAGAAGATTGCGCAATGTACCGCGCCGATCTGGCAGGAAGGTGCCAATTGCGGTGAGGGGTTTTCATGGACCAGTAGATCTGAGATTATATTATCCAAAAAAAAAAAAGAGATGAGTATGAATTTACAAATAGTACCAAAATATAGAAGAAAAAAAGAAAGAAATAAAGTGAAAGGCGTAAATATTCTAAAAAAAGAATGAAACGCCGATAATACCAAACAACAACAACAACAACAACATATTATTCTTAATATCGAGGAGGGCCTCAAGCCGTCAGTCCTTTTGGTTGCTTACTAACAAGCATCTGTGCTTTCTTAGCAGTGAGGTAAAACATAATAACCACATAAATAACAAAATATGCATTTACATTTAGAATACTGATGCTATTATTTCAACCCTATATGTCTTACTGTTGATAGCAAGCTTCAAGCACATGCCGTCTCGACAAACTCTACAATCTGATGTCAGGAGAGGAAAAGGAAAGAATTATTGAGGTGAGTATAATGAACAACGGAGGTAAGCCCCTTGACGGGGGAGGAGGGCGGGGGGGGGGGGGGGTCTCTCCCCTCGAATTACTCTTCCTCTCCCGACCACGATTCCAGTTGTCATTACCTGAAAAGGTTTAGTTGAGTGCCCATCTTGAAGAAGGATCCACATCGAGTTTGGGGGGAGGGGGGGGGGGGGGGGAATCGCCTCCAACTGAAAAAGCCCTATCTGTTACCCCATCCAAATATTGTGGGCTTTTCTCTTAACATTATTTGATCATTACGGCCCTCTTTCACACAATCCTCTATTCGGAGGGGAGAGGGGAGGGGGTGGTGGTGGTGGTGGTGGTGGTGGGGGGGGGGGGGGGGGGGGGATCATGGTGATCATGGATTGGACAAAATTTTCCGTGATTTTTTACAAGTTCATCATTCGATAAGCATCTACCCCAAATCAACAAAATGAAACTTTGCGTCGAAATACTTGAGTTTACATTCTGCACATACCTCTCTGAACATTCAGACAAAGAAGGATCGTTGCATGAAAACACTATTAATATTTTCTAATGATCATTAATTAATCAGCAACAATTACTGTGGCTATTTTTCTTAGTATTTCTAACTATTACTTCAGTATGAGTAAGTTTTCTGTGTCCTAAACTGTAGCATCCTGTTCCTTTTTTCCTTTTAAACAGACGTTTGCCGAACTTCTGTGAGGGATCAACTAACCTCACCCACTATACAACTTTAGCCTTCTGCTTCAAAACCACCTTGATATATCTGAAATCTCATACATTTATAATTTTGTTCTTGTAGTGCATTCTATTTGCCAAGTTTCGTACGCCGCGAAGTTTGGATAGGCATTATACCATAACAAAAACGCGTATTAAATCCTTTGGGTATGAATTTAATAGGCCTGATTTATGAAGGATGGAAAAACCGCTTATATCAATTAAAGGGCACCAAATGTGACACTCCTGATTTTTGTATCAATTTGAAGGTCAAAGACTTTTGTTACGAAATCAATCAATCAGCTTGCTTTCGAGGATCGCATCGATGGGGAGGATAAGTTTCCTTACAGAATTGATTTTGTTACGGATCACGGGAGTTTAACTTGGTGCCTTACATTCTGTGGAGGGGGAGGGTTGGCCTGAAGAAGGATGTAATAATATTATGTGTCATGTTACATTTTCGGTCTTTATTCTATCATCGGGAATTTAAAAAGTAACCTAAACGTGCAGTACGATAATATATCTTGTTATTTTGTACTTAAGCTATTACTCTACACATTCAGTAGCCAGAACATGTAGTCAGTAACATGTAGCTAATAGACAGTGGTGAATAGGTTACATGTAATTGCTCAAAGGAATCTTTATATATCATTAAAGGAAAATGTCTACCCTGATATTGCAGTTTGTTTTAATAAATGCAGGAAAACAGGTCAATCAGGTAATGAAATTTTGAGTAAATAATCGAAAGATGAATTCAAAAAAGCATTTTTTGTTAACGTTGCAATCGTTCAAACACAAATTGGCAACTTTATATTTAATCGAGCGACCATAAATTTAAAAAAACTGATAAAAATATAAATTTAAAAAAAAAAAAAAATTAAAAAAAATTAAAAAAATAAAAAAATAAATAAATAAATAAAAAAAAAAAAAAAAAAAAAAAAAAAATCACATTTTCTTTAAAGCAGATTAGTGATTATACCCTTGCTTTATAATCATTACACACATTTTTTTAAAGCAACCCCTTCATGAAAAAATATTACTTCATGAACAATCAAGAATTTGCCAATTTGGATATCTCGACGGATTTTCCTAAAAACTCATTGTTCTGTTTTTATCATTTTTCTGCTTTTACTACAAATTCACACAAGGGCGGACTTCTCATTTAAGTATTTTCTGAGCATAAAAAAATCTAATATCGTATCTATGTTATACCATAAATACAGTTCTTGAAAAGTTGATAAACCCGTTTTTTCCAGAAGAAACATTTTATGTATTAATAAATAATGTACCTTACTATGTTGCTGAAACGTAGTTGCCATGTATTTTTCTAATTTGTATAAATGCTGTATCCAATTTATTACGGAATTTTCAGTTTTTTCTTGAGTGGATAGCGACAATAAATGTATCTACATTCGTACCTCTCAAGAGATGTTAATCGAAGGTTACTTCTTCTTCTGCCCGAAGGCGGCAATGTTCTTTCATGCGTGTTTGTAGGAAATATAACTCGTTTGTATTTCTTTGAATTTCCGGCACTTATCTTACAATGCCGTTGATTGAATGCTTTCTATTACATTGATAACATTGAGAACGGTTTGTTGCGAATCTTGATACAATATTAAATGATAGTACGAATTCAACTTTATGAACATAAAAACCTCGATGACCAGCCCTTGACAAAGAATCTCCTCTCTGAAATATGTACGTATAGATTTCCAAACAAAAGAAGAAAATAATATCATTTCAATTCAATTCAAATTGAATAACTAATTCAATCAGTAGAATTATTATATAAACACATTTTCAATGAAGCGCTATAATATATAGAGAGAGATTTCTTGACAATATTTTAACTGAAGAATAAGTCGTAGGTAATCGAAAGATTATTGCAAATTTCTCAATCGCAAGTATGTTGAGAAATGACAACATTCTGGGAAGACGAGATAAAGAGAATATCAATTTCGATTTTTCTTGGGTGTTCATACGCTGCTCAATGAAAATGTTCACTTTTTTTCGAGGTGACAATATTAAAAGAAAATATGAATAAACCAAGCGTCATTTCAAAGATAAACATTCAAACTGAGAAAATGAATGTTATCCTCGAAGTTTGATGTAATCTAAGAAAATAAATGATGATGAAATCACCATTTCGTGTTCAGTCTGTCATTTGTTTTGAATATAGATGTGCATGCCATTTGTTTAAATGTTAATAATGTGGATATAGTTGTTATTACTACAAGGGCATGATGGTTGTAGAATTTGGTTAAACCAATTTAGATAGGAAATGGACACAATGGGTGGTATTCTCGAAAGCGGACTAACTTTAGTCCATGGTTTAATCCACCGACTAAGTATAGAATGCCAAGTGTCCATATGAATCTGTTTTTGAATAATTTAATATGTTACTAAATTAAAATAAAATGTGATAACATAATTAATAAACAACAATATAACTATGATATAATTATGTTATCATGGTAATTTAGAGACATATCAAATTATTCAACAATCTATTCATATGGACACCTGGCATTCCATTCTTAGTTGGTGGGTTAAACTATGGTTACTAACTAAAGTTAGTCCGCTTTCGAGAATACCACCCATAGTCTATTATTAATCGTTCACTATTTTTGTGATTTATATTCCTTCCCTTTTAGATACAGGTATTTGTGACTCCTATTGATTATCCATAACAGTGATTTATAAAGTACAGGATGGAGCCCCCCCCCCCCAATTAAAACCCCTAGCTTTTTCCCAAAGTGTATAATTCCGCAACATACATTTTCCGTACCGGAAATAAAATAGGGCTCATAATTCCCGAAATGAAATATTAAAGGATCCCTATTCCGATGGGGTCGTAATTCCGAAAATGACACAGAGTGCTATTTTTTTGTTTGATTTATGAACTCTTTGCATTTTCTGGATTATGAACTCTTTGCATTTTCTGAATTATGAACCCTTTCTCATTTTCCAAATTATGAACCCTATTTCATTTTTGAATTCATGAATTATATTCCATTTTAGGAATAACAAACACTATTTCATTTTTGGTATTTTAAATCCCTAAAAAAAACGGAACTATGAACCTTTGGTACGACGAACGTTCGGAAAAAAGAGCCTAAGAAATTATGAATGTGTGGAAAAACAATGTAGATATTGGAATTTGGCCTCAATATGTTACCTAGTTACATGCATATCAAAAGATAAAGTTTCATTGGAAATTATATTAAAAGATAATAAGTCGCAAATTGAAAAATAACATGAAAACTGAATTATACATGTATATATTAGGTCTTTGGCCGAACAAATGAGGTGAGCGGTGTATTTTTTCCCGTATCATACCACTTTGGTATGATGATTGATAAAGCGATTAAATGATAATGAAGGTGGAATTGAGAATAACTTTAATACACATCACAATAAATCTTTGAAAAGCAATTAGAAAAATCTTCCTCGTGTCATAATTGTCTTTCTCTTTCTCTCTCTGTCTCTCTGACCCTGTCTCTCTCTCTGTCTCACTCTCTCTGTCTCTCTCTCTCTCTCTCACGTCATTCTCTCTTATTACGTTATCCACCTGTCCACCTCCCCTCCCCCTCAATCCATCGCTTCTTTTCTCTCCCCTAACTCCCCCACTCTCTTTCTCTCTCTGTCATAATGTCTGCCTGTTCTCCCTCTCAATCTCTCTCGATCTCCCTCTTTCTCTCTATCTCTCACCCATTCTCTCAATCTCCCCCACCCCTTTCTCATCCCTCTCTCTCTCTCAAACTTGTCTCCCTACCCCTCTTTTTTCGCATCTCTTTCCCCCTCTCTCTCTCTCTCATTATGTATTTGTCTCCTTTCCCCCTTTTCTTTCTCTCTCTCTCTTTCTCTCTCTCTCTACCTCTCTCTCTCTCTTCACTCTCTATATTATTATCATTTTCACCTTCCCCCTCTCTCCATCCATTTGTATCCATTTAAATGGGCCTAAGTAATTAGTAATTTTAAAGAAGGTTTTATTATCATGTAAAATAAAATCAAGGTCGGAGAATATCAAACAATAATTATGAACTCATCCTTCCTTGGAGAAAATCACGACAGAAATTGTAATTTGGAAAAGAACAGTAAAGAGAATCATCCTTGAATTGTGAAAATAAAGGCCTTAGAAAACGTTATAGTTTTATGTCAATCATATATTTTTCCTTTTATGTTGTTGTTGTTGTTTGTTTGTTTGCTTTTTTTTATGCCAAGTTTGAACATAATATCATGCCCGATGTCCTGGTATTTTTCTTTAAAATCACATTCAATAAGTCCCTTTTTAACTTTCTGGCCTTGAGTATTGCTTAAGGTTTCTCATTTGGGTAATTAAGTATTTAAGGCGACATTTCAGTTATTTTGATGGAATTGCTATCAGTCTGCAATGGGTCATTTTAACAGCAAATTTAAAATTCATCACTACCAAAATTGCAAAAGTTTATAGGGGAATAATGTTTTAATAAACAGTGTCAATTCCAAATGGACACCTCCTCCTATTTGGTAAAAAAAAAAACACTGTCCATCTGTATCTGTAAACATTACTTATAATTCTGATTATATTCAATATGATGCTAAAACGATTTATCCTTACATGCGTAATTCTAACACAACCAATACAACAAATAATTTATCTTTTTTTCAATTGATTCTCGCCCTTGCCTCGACTCATTACACCTAATGATTTTTTTCGAATGAAAGATTATACGTCACTATTTAGTCATTAGCAAAAGATTGCAGTTTTTCGTGAATAGAATAATTTATTCGTTATGCGTAGTGGATCTTTCTGTCTTCCACTACGATGGAATGACACACTTACAATCCAACCATTTGATTGATTTGTGGGAAAATTAGGATGAACATAAGATCGGGATAAAGTAGAGATATTTTCTTCGGCATTTTGCAACTTCAAGCTCAATTAAAATTCTGCTTGTTCAATTAGGATCGTGAGTGAAATACGAACGAGAGGTTATAAGATAGCATTATGCAAGAACAAAAGACACTGCCAATAGTTTTGTTAATATTCTCAGAACTTGGGATTCAAGGAAGCAGAATAATAACAAAAACGAAAAAAAAACATACACACAAAAAATAGATAAGTGGGCGTTTGACTTAAAGACTGTCCATTAGCCATCCTCAGAACTTGGATGATTCATGATTTTACTACTAAGCAAAAGATTAAACAAAGTCAGGAAACTCTGTTGTACTGAAGACCCAACGTGTCACGTCATAAAAGTGTCTGACGGCGACGACAATCGAGGAAAATGGTAGAAAATACCCACTTGAAACCCTCTTGGAATTATCAAATCTTGACTTATTAGACGTTATGTTGAAGATCAAAGAAATTGATGTTTTTACTTCTTCGACAAAGCTGCAGACATACAGTAAGATTCATAATAAAAAAAAGACAGGTGAAGGTTGTTCAGGTGAAACTCAATACAAATGTGCTTTTGACTACCGCACCCCTTCTCGTTTTTTTTTTTTTTTTTTTTACAATTGCCATCATTCATTGACATTTTTTGTGTTAAATTAATTTCAATTATCAATTTAGCAATTTCACTCTCAATGGTGTCAGTGTAGCTGCTACAATGCGCCTTCATCGGGCATGATGGATAAAAGAAAAAACAACAATAAGGGGGAGAAGCTATGAGAAAAACTATGATTTTCACTAGATGGCGCTCATGTCAAATTGCTTCGACCAAAACCAACTTTTTTGATCATGTTACAATATCTGTTAAAATGTTGGCAGACTGCTCTCCCTCTAAGGTTCATTCACTAATTCATATGACATGGTAA